GCAACGTTTCTGTCGAGTAAAACGTATCGGTGGGGAATGTTGCAGGGATTAGTGGGAATATCGAAATAGTTGAAAATCTCATTTACACATTTTACCCGACGTTCAACTCTCGATCGCGTCTCGTTGTTAAACTTTTACTTTGTACGCGGAGTGAACCACGGAAAACAAATTATTGTGTTTTACATTTAATCAACTACGCGTAAACGTCGTTTGCCTTCGCTTGCACAATACTAGCAAACGATAGAATAGGAGATGCAACCTGAGCTCCGATGCTTCGAACGTGTCTTCTACAGGCAAGCCCAGTTATATCAAGCGAAAATAGGTGTCGAAAATTTGAGTATCTATCTTGCAGCAGTATCAGATTGCACCGGGTAACTGTACAAATTAAGATGGAACTTGAGCAAACGATTTGACGAATAGCAGCGACATTGAAACACGTACACCAATACCATCTCGATAGTGAAATATTACGCTGTGGATATATGAACGAACCCGGGAATTTCGTACGAATGTTCATGCGAGAGCGAGAAAGTTTCGAAAAGCGTAAAAGAAAAATATGCAGGCACCTGAAAGTCTTGGATGGACGTGACTGCGTGTTTCCTAGGAATGTTGGTAAGGCGCACCTGAAGAAGCAGAGTTTGTAAAGAAGGGTGAGGGTGAGGGAAGAAAATGTGAATAAAAGAAGTTGCAAAGTAAAATCAAAGGGAAAGGGTTAAGAAACCAGACGATTCGTGTTTCAACGTAAAAAAAAAAAAAACTGAGTTACGTCGTGTTACGTGTCGTAACATCGACAATTATCGCGCCATGAATCGATTCGCTGTTCCGGTTTCATCGAAATATATCGAGAAAGCCCTAGTATAAATCCCACTATTTCATCGTATGGAGGATGAGACCTAAGCGGATAGAGGCATTAAAAGATATCAAAAATGCATATACAGCTGACAATGCTAAGTGCTAGGAACTCACGATAGTTTCTGCGCAATTCCGTGGATTATCGCGCTATTAAACTCGTACGAACAACTCGATGTGAATGGAAATCCTACGAGACGCTTGATTGGATCAAATAAACCTTCCACGCGTGTGCAACGCCTAATTTCGATCCAGATTGCCAGTTAATAGGTTTTGACAGAGAACGGATGAAACTGTACACACACCCTGTAAACTAGTTACACATAGCGGTACGATATGAAACGTCAGAGAACTGACGTAATTCCAACTCGCAAGTTGCAACGAGTACGCGCATTAACTGGCCGCGTGTGTTTTAATCCATTGCCCGGCATTGTTTCGATAGGAAATGCGTCTTCCCGAAGAGAGTACGCGTTAAAACGCAACAAGAGATATTATCTAGGGCTATTATCCTCATGCGGCTGCTACTGCTATAAAACCATAGTTGATTGTTTCACGGTATACGTACTTACGTATATGTAATACACACATATATATAGTATTATATGGAGAAGAAACAAATCTAAGAAAAATTGATATTTCCTTTTCGAATTCCATTTCACTTTTTTTATTTTCATCGATTAACATTGCGACGATGGAAACATCGATATTCCTCTTGTTATAAAATGCACTCCAACGCTAAATATAGAGGAGAGTGGGGTAAAATGAAACGAGCGGGTAAAACGGAACATCGGTGTTTCTCTCAGATAAAATCTGCCAATGAGTTAGTCTATAGTGCCGTGTGACATGAGACTATTCTACTAAACAGCCTTTCCAACAATTCGTGGTCGACCATATAGACCCATGCGTTATTTTTCAATTGAGAGAGTTGGATTTTTCACTGTTGAAGTTTCCATATTGTATTGACGTTTCGATTATTTTTTTTTTTTTTTTTGTCAACTGTATTTTGAAAATTAACAACGATAAACACATATTGAATCCTATAGTGGCTATAGTATTTCCTTTATACTCCACCGTGCCTTCCGTATTGAAGAATGTAACATAACGCATGAGAACACTAATCTCCATTGAATTGTACTTTTTATAAGCGTCCTCTAGAGAAAAAAGAGCAACTATTCGATATGCAGCGTGAATCAGTCTTTACCTAGATGAAAACGTTTCTAAAGGGAACGTACGTGACTAGCGCATTGTTTAACGGCATTAATGTATTCCACAGCGGCAAAAGCAGGTCGAAAGTGAAGCTGAAAAAGTGTGGAAAGATATTAGCACCGCTCCACACGATCATTTTAACGTGGCGATCGTTGGTGTACATGTTTTGTACGTTTGCGTGCTTCGTCGCTTGGTATTTAAATTTGTGTACAGCTACCAGAAACAACGTAAATATACATCCAACTCTGCCTAACCTTCTACGATCAATTAGAAGAGATTTTCACGTAATGATATCTTGACAGATATACATATTGTTAGATGATAGATACCGTTGATCTGATGAAACTACGTGTTCTCGGTGAAACACGAAAAAATAGAATTTATCGTTGTTATGAGATTACTAGAGAAAATAATATTTCGATGAAATATTTTTCACGATAGAATTAAATAATATTCGATATCATAAAATTCGCTCATAAACGAATGAAACATCTACGTTTGGCAGATGGCCTGCAGTTTCAGCATAATAAATCTGCGTTATCATACGCTGAAGTAGATTCGCGTGTCTAGTATTTTAAAAAGGCTATTCGCTATAATATCACATGTGCAATATACTTGCACAACGCGAAGTGGGATTGATCTTCTTTCACGGACGGTTTTACCGAATTAAAGTTGGAACGTTTCAGGATTTAGAAAAAATTCAGCGCTCTTCTTAAAAGTTCCTAATGGACTCGTCTCTCCACTGGATTTCGTTCTTCACATCCGATTCTTTAACAAAGATGAAATGCAGGCTACGACTTTAAACAGAAGAAAATTATTCGTCGGATTTTTAATTGGTTCATTGGTTAACCTCTTAACCTATGAATATTCAACGACGGTGGAAAATGAAGAGGAAAGTAGAAAGGAAGAAAGGAGGATGATCACGGCTTTGCCAAATCTGTGAGAAAGCTTCTCAAAAGCTTTTCAACGATTGATAGAATGCGATTATTTATATTATAATACAATGTTGTTCGAGTAATACGCACTTTGCTACATTTCCATTCATTGGAAAACTAAATTGCCAAACGTAAAATATTATCTGTTTTTTTTTCGATAGATTTTAACGTCGCGTCAACTGCACCTATGTGGTTTTTAGCGACGACAATGTGAGTAGAGAGAGATTTACGAGTTAAACTTTACCAAATAACGAAACATGAGAAATAACATTATAAATGATATTATAACTACCGTGTACACAATCTAATACACACAATATTATACTAACCATAAAAAGAATCTTTCAAGCCAACAATTCTTATTGGGTATTTACGCAGAAAATGGATACGGATACAATAGGTACATTATGACGATGATAATAATTATTATTATTATTCCGGATAGGTCAAAGTATCAAATACATTTTTCGAATGTCATATCGCAAAGTAGTTGCTTGTATTATCTACGCAAAATTGAAGAAATGCACTTCGGTTTTATAACAGAACTTCTCTAAATTATGAACTCTCGTTAAATTCTGGTGCTCTGTCGTTGCTTTCTCGAGACTCTTATCCTCCTCGCGAAACTCGCTCGTTAGAATCCCAACCCTCTTCTGACCAACTGACTCGTTTACGACTTTTCACATTTCTAACGTTCAGCCTACTAATGTGAAAACTGACACAAAACGGACAAACCTTTCGATAAAAATCGACTATTTCACGCGACGATGGTTCCGCCATTTGTTAAAATGTATTTGCGAGAAGACGAGGATTATTCGAATCATTTTCGTTCGAAAATCGTCTTAAATAATAATTACACAACGAAGTTTCCACTTTCGTATCTTCGTAACTTCTTTTTATTCTTCGTGTGTATCTCGCGTAGAAAGAAAGGTACCATTGTCATATCGGGAAACAGAACAGGCACTTGCAATTTTATTTTTTCTCGTATTACAGAAAGCTGTTGAAACCTTTCTGTTGCTATACTACGCGAGTATATTTATACATTTACGCGATTCTTTCGAATGCCTAAAAGGACAATGGTCCGCTAGATTTCCACTTTGGACATACGGCAACGGTATTGAGTTTATTGCCTCCTATAGAGCACGCGTGATGCCAGAAGCTGATGATACCGACGCCTGCATTCTGCCGCCCCTTTTTACAACCTTCACCGTTTAGTTTATCTGTGGCCCGATTTCATCTCGAGAATTTATGACGTTCTCCAAGTCCTGCTTCCACGCTATTCAAGGATTCGTTTCGCAATTCCTACTCGAATAGCATCACGGTAATATTCGACGTTTTCATCGAAAATCACGATATGGGCACATTTAAAGGTGTCACGAGAATATAATGTGGTTTCGTAATATACAAAATATGATTCACGGTACGCGAAATATAGAACGTAACCTATCCGAAAGTAAATTTATCACGTTAGAATTAATATTTCTCCGTATTACGTACAATGTCGAAGGAGATACTGCGCGTTTGAAAAATTTGATTTGTTCGAACGAAACGAACATAAACAAATGAAAAATGTATCATTCAGCTCGTTTCAACGCCGGGCTTAAAAATAATTCGAAATACAGGGAACTGGTATTGCGCGATAATTCGTAAAACGTTCTACCGTTCTTTCGGATTTTAAAGCTTTGACAATATCGATTTCGAACATACCGTGTTACAGATATGTTAATGGTAATTCGTTGTCGTGTGTTAATTTCGACCAAAGGATGATTATCGTATGCTATATGTATATTCGACACAACGGAGTAAATCAGTTATTCTTTCGTTCCATTCTTTGATTCGATTCGTTCGAAAAAATTGCTTCGTATGATCATTTAAGGTGGAATAAAAATATCTTTCAAGATTTTTGTGAAACTCGCTATAAATTTGACCGCTGCAGCGGTTTCGTCAGCCGAAGAATTTACGTTCGATGAAAACGATTTCTCCGGGAAATTTTTATTATTCCGACTCACCCACCATTGAGTACGTGGACTAGAACACTGGCTGACTCGGCCGCAGACGGGGCACATGTGTAATTTCCAGAATCAGCAGGTAACGCCTTTGATATTAAGAGACGCGACGTTCGCGTTTGCTTCTCAGTGACTACGTTGATACCTCCCCTTTGACTGTAATTTACCACGTGATCACCCTTGTACCTGCAAATGTAATAACTTTCTGTTAATTAAAATTGTTTGAAAATGTCAATCGATGCTTTAGCTACGTCAGACAACTTTCCTCTTATTGCGTAAACGTACAGAGATTTTCCAGGGTTTATACAAAGATTCCAATAATTACATCGTAAGAACGTATGAAATTTATTTAGCTTTCGATTACGTAATCTTGTAATTCGACGATTTATGAGGAAAGGTAATACTTTGTTAGGAGTCGTGAATTCCATTATAAATATTATTATATGGAAAGGCAATTTGTTTTAGCGTAATATATGTATATCGAAAATAATCGTTGGAAATTCATGGTAATATTATACTATAATAAATTTCACAGTGAGTAAACTGCATATTAATTTTGTAATTATACGACGTTACTGGCAGTACGTTTCCTGAAAATTTCTCTTTTAAAAGATGCGCGACCATTTAAGTGGAACGCATTACATTCTAGCAACACGATGATACATACATACACGTACATATACGTTTGGTTCTGAAATAAAACAGATACGAAGCAACGTATAAATTGGAACTTGGATCAAAATAAAACCGAATTTTCTCATTTTATTCCCATCGTACGCGTAGTTCTCTCGTCTCTGCGCGTTACTGATATTAATAAATGCTGATAAAACGCGACAACGAATACAGTGAACTTGAAATGTCAATGCGGCGAGGAAAAAATAGAAGAGTAGGCAAATGTAACGAAATAAAATAAAAAAAAAAAAAAAAAAGAAAAAACTAGGAATATTACAAAACGCCCTCGTTCGAAATGAAATCGGTAATTAAAGCGCTCTAAATTTACACTGAAGTTTGTAATCCTTGATCCACTTTCGGCCTCTTTTGCTTCACCATTCTTTATCAAACAATGAACTTTTCACAGTTCGATCATTCAACCGTTCAATCAACAGAGAAAGCAACGAGAAGAAAGGAAGCAATTCCGATTCAACGACGATTTTCCATCTGCCAATCAGCATCAGCGGTGTTCTACGTTCATTTTAGCATGTAATCGAGAACCGTCTCGATGAATCATGATGGGCCCTCATTCACGAATGTTCGCTCGTGTTACGCGACGACGCGACGCCATCGTGCGAATTCACGGCATTTATGTTCCCGAGTAAATCGAATTCGCGAAAGTCCAATTAAACTTACCAATAAATGAATGACGGCGGCTCAGGTGTCTGCAATACTATGCAGGTCAGATTGATGTCGCTTCCGCTCTTGATGTACAGCTCCGAGTTACCGTTGATCTTTGCCTTCGACACTAACAACATAATCAAATCGACGTTAGATCGCTGCATCTTCAAACAGCTTGTAAGCGTATTACGTCGTGATATTGTCGGCGACACGTTAAACTTCCATTTCATTCGTTCGCCGATCCTTCGGGAAATAAACGACAAAGCGTTCGTATGAAATATTAATATGCGATTCTACCGGCATTGACATACACTTGCCGCGTTCAAACTGAAACTTCCTTTTAACGTAACGACAACGTAATAACCAGTTATTGTGTCAATTGCAAGAATAACGTGTACGGAGAAACGTTTATCGAAGTAACTTTGTCGCGTTCCCTTAATCAATGAGAGAATTTATTCGCTACAAATGCGGAATATGCGTCAAGCTTGTACTAACCTACGACGCTCAAGTTAAAAGCTTGGCTGATTTTCGATTCGGTTGAAACCTGACACTCGTATGTTCCGCTATCGCGAACTTGCGGTGAACTAATCCTCAAGGTCCATTCGTCAGATCCGTCTCTGTGTAACGACTGGAAACGCTGGTCGTTCGTGTAGGTTAAGATTCCTACGGTGAGAATGTGCAGATCTCGTTTCCTGATCCACGAAACCTGCAAACGAACCGAGAACGATCTTTACGTGACTCGTTTGCAATTCTGGCAGATGTTAGAACAGCCACGAAAATCGTTGCATTTCGTAACATTTTTGGAATTTCGAATCCATATGGATATCGATTTGTGGGAGGAAAAAGGCGTTAGTGGAGCAATTATAGAACTGAAAAGCAAGGGACGGGTAAATTTCGTGAAACGATAAATTAATCGTGATTGGGATGTACCAGTGACGATAAATTCTCATAATCTTTTACTGTTACGCTCGAATAATTCTACAAAAACGAACTTAATATTTATCGGATGAAGCGAAACGTAACAGAAATAGAATTTATGATTGTACGCATTGGTAAATTCAGCGCGGAATTATCGAGAAAATCTTTCGCAGATTCGATGCGCTTTGTCCGCCAAATTTCGTATTACATTCAATCGTGCGAAATCGCATTTTGTCGCCGAGGACGAAAAAAATCAACCAGAGAGAGAGAGAGAGAGAGAGAAAAAAGAGAGAAAGAGTCGGATAACGAGACAAAGATAGGACAGGGATCAACTTTGGACAAAGCTTCCGACGCGAAAACATTTAACCGATCCGCGATAATCTTTGTCCACGCTATCAGCTTCTATCGAACTCAATTATCCAAGAACGGACGCTGAGCCGGTAATTTTTCACGACAAAAAAATTGTTCACGGTTCAATTTAACTTTCGGTCAGATATAATTAGAACACGGAACACGCGGCAACCCTGGAAAATAGATGGCTTATCGGCGAAACGTTTATTCTTCGTGTTGAAAACGGAGAATTGATACCTCGAATGTCGTTGGGGAAAATTAATTGTAGCAAGACAGCGGTTGTTACGTGCTGCCTGAGAACAATGCAGAAATACACTGCGTTACCGTCCTACGGTGTGTTTGTTTTGTCACCGTCGAAATTAATGATAAGACAGCGTAAACAGCCTTTCCTTCGCGATATTTTCTCCCAAAACGCAATTTGAAAATCCTTTTCTTTCCCTTCGCTTCATTTTTAAACTTCCTTCCAACCGAACAAAATAAACTTTTTAGTTACTCCTCTTCCTTATTTTAATATAGCATATAATATGTATATTAAAAGCAATTATAGAATCATTGGAAGATTTTCAAAGAAAATTGCTTTATCGTCCCTTCTCGTCGATTTCGTTATATCTCGGACATTTTTATCGCGTCGTATATCGTCGTGCACACGTAGGATAATAAAAAATATAAAAAGATATCGGGTATGTATCTTTGTAATAAGGATAACCTAGATATAATAAGGATAACCAGAAGTTGAATAAGTTAGTTAGTAATTACAATGCAATTATCAAGTTACGGTACAAAAGAAAGCATAACTTCGAGCTTTATTATAACGTAAGCTTAGTATTTTTTATCATGTCGAGGTAAGACTTCTATCCTATTTTTAATGCTGCATGACAAGCAACGGTATCCTTGTGAGAGCGGTAAAACCAAGCATATTTTTAAACGAACGTATCCAGCTCGCCAACAAAAGCCAGAGATATGTTGGAAACTCGCAGTTTGAGGCCAAGGAAAAATCCTTTTCCTTTGTTTTCAGTTAAATGAAACCCGAGTACCTGTTACCTACTACCACGCGAATTCTTAACCAAAATCTCGAGAATAGCGGATTTAGAATTGAAAATGTGTAGGAATTTAAATATCCTTTAATTATTCGACAAACCAGAAAATTAGAGTCCATATGAAAATATTAGAAATCAGGCTGGTAACAAAAGGAATTATACGATAATTTAGATCGAATAATTATTCATTTGTTCAATTCCATTCTCATTTAAAATACATTGCGAATTAATTTCATTTGTAGATAATTGGAAAATCATGTTTCATTGAAATCGCCCTTGACCGTTCATGCTATTCTGATTTTCCAGAGAACATGGCGCATCTCGACATTTCCATTTATGATTACTCTCAACGAGAATATCGATAATTGAAATGGTATAGGTATCACGTACTAGGATCAACGTAGAAAAATCTTTCGTACATTATTGAGTTTCAAACTAACTACATATGTATATGGTACATACATAGCGACGAAGTGACAAAAACTGCGGCGTTATTTTATATAACGTTACGCTTTGTTTCTCCTTTATTTCGTTACACGCACGATCCTTTTATTCTTTATCTTTCAGGCTGGCGAAATAAATTCCTCGTAAAATTAACGCGCGTATCTATTAAGAATCGACGTTATGCGAGCTTTTAACTCATTAACCAACACGAACACTACTGTCATTATACTTTGTTCATTGTATAACTTTATAATCTCAGATGAAACACCTTTACTTACTGACAGGCACTACTGTGTAACTTTATAATCTAAAATGAAACACTTTTGCCTGCAGGCAAGCAGGTAAATATACTTTGTTTACTGTACAAACTTTATAATCCGAAACGTAACAACTTTACATAGGCAAGCTTGAATAGATCAGAATAGGGAAACGTTATACAATTTCCGAGAAGTAACAAATATCTCTTGATAACTTTATATTCATCGCTTGGATAATAATACGAAAATATTGGAATTCTAATTCCATTGCAAACGCGCAATATGTATATTATATATGTACCGTATACTACGATACTATATACGATACTATAGTCTACTCTAGAGTATCGATTGCGAACGAAGAACAATTTTGGAGATGTACTTATCTTACAATAAGGATTGGTTTAGGATCCTTAGGATCGGGGTTGTTACGGAAAACTACCATAGGAAAAACGTGTATCGCGTATCCGACGTCTTTATAACTGCGCGGTAAATTATATGTCCGTATAACTCAAAATGTCGAGATACGTACATGATCAATGGTCTGTCATCGGAACGAAGCGGTATAATTATATCAGCACTGTGTATATAAGGTGAATTTGTAAGGTTAAGATTCCAATAAAATCAATCCGAATATTTCGGAAAACATGGCAGATACAAATAAACGTTGGGGACAAAAATTGCACGATATCGAGAAGGATATACTATGCTCTTGTGTATTTGATCTCGCGGTGATCCTGAAACCTCCTGTAAAAGACACGATAAATTTTTGAACGGTTGCCTCCGTTTGTTCGTTGCATATTCTTCTAACTAATATTCAACGTTTTCAAAAGTCTGCGAGCTCGTGTCTTTCGCAACACCCATTATCGAGATATGAACATTAAAATTCAACGCGTTACCGGCATTAACGTTATCCGATGTACACCACGGAGACACATAAAGATGTTTTTCATAACGCTGCTACTGATACGGCATTGTCGAAACACAAGATCGCAGTTTTCTAATGTTTCCAAAAAATGGTCCTCTTCGAACGCTCCCTTTGGCGTAATACGTACGTCGTACTGTTCCGTGGAATTTAAAAGTTTGCCAGCGAATGGTGCAAAAAACACAAGTTTGTAGATCGCGTTTTGAAAACGCCAGAACGTCAGCTGCCAAAGTATGCAATGAAAAATGGAGGTATCCATTTAAAAATTACTTTTATAGAAGGTTTCACGGTCACCGCAACATCAACTACGCAAGAGTATGATATTTCGTGATGGCCTTCGTGTTGCTCAATTTTTCTCTGAAACGTTTTTTCGTATCGTTCGCGTTCTTCTAGATTTTTAAGTGATTCGATATAAATCGGACACACTGTACATATATACAGAGTGGTAACTGGTGGTATAAGCTTTTATTTTTTTTTAATTTTTTTTAATTCTTCCATTGAGACAACGATCTACAGTGAGATCCGTCATAACGAGACGTAATAAAGTGGACGCGTACCGAGCGACAATTCAAAGTCGATTTTCTCGAAAACAAAGCCTCGAACGAAAAATTTTTATTCTATATTTTCGACTTCTTTTTTCGCGTAGAATCACCCCCTTTCCGCTTGTACCACCAGTTACCAACCACCCTGTATATATATATATATATATGTTGTTTGGACGTTTGCGCTCGTTGACGACTGTATGAGAAATACCCATCCTCTGCGTCCAGTTCGCGAAGCAGTCGATCCGCCTGGCTCGTGATACATAGTATGTACTTAAGTACGTACATAGTTAGCTAGAAGGACCTAATTTATGGCACGCACATGCGGCGGTCGCTCTCTCTCTCTCTTGCCAAGTTCCACGACACGAAAAACCGAACGACAGTTTCGAACAGTGGCAGCTTCGCGTTCTCATTCCAGCTTCTACATTCCATTTAACACGACCGCTGTCACGCGTGCAAGCGTCGCTGACGCGCAACACGCAAAATTTTCCAGTTGGCGACGAACGTGTTAATCCAATTTACAGTTACTATACAGATCGTATAGGTAAACTCGCAAGATCGCAATATGTTTTGATTCGCAATCAAGTTAGTACGCGAATTTTCGAAATCAATTTGTCGCGAAACGAAGGCTTCGATAAGCGCGTTTAATTTGAAACATTCGATTTATATTCTCACGCAACGTGGCTGTTTTTCCATTACGTTCCTATCGCGACCAGTTTACGAAAATAACAAATAGTCCGTCAATAATAATCCCTGGAGGAAAAGTGATCCATGTATATTGGCCTGTTCATCGGTTTTTAGCGAGTTCTGAGCACTGTTTGAAACAACTAATGGCGCGAAGCTGTCGCGCCAAACAACAATACACGGAGTGTTACCGTTACGTCGCTAGGTTGATTTTACGCCTGCGAATATAAACGCCTGGTTTCGCGCAGATAGAGAACCGTACACCACCGTGCACGCGGCTCGCTGGTTGAAGTGGGGTCGAAGCGAAGGGAAATCTGATTTATCGTCGATTACGATCGGTGATTGGATTCTGACGGGTTCCTGTGCGTCATGCGGTGATGCATGAATAACGTCGATAACGAGTAATGTCACTACTCGACGCTGACCCATGCACTTTAACCGTCAAAGTACTTTCCATTAAGATGACCGTGGATAGGGTGCGTGATCCTTTGTCTCGCGTAAACACGAGCCAAGTATTTACAATTATATCATATTCCATATCGTATTCGAAAAAGCTAGTTTCTTAGTTTGCTACGTTCTGCTTGTACCATGATCGTACCGAGACAAAATGTAAAACGGCTTTTTCTGATATACATTTGGGATCATTAAGCCTTTCTACAGACGCTCTTTTTACTTTCTAACGTAACCTACGCGTTAAAATATCTTTCGTCGAACTAAACTGCTTAATCGCTCGATCATCGTTGTATTAGCCGTATAATTGTAGCATACTACGCGAAAGAATTATCGTGCAAATCGTAGGTCATACGAATTTCAATCGACATTTCTAATCGATTGTAGGCATTGACGCTGGTGGATGTAACAAAATCTTCGATTAAAAGTCTAGTTCAAAGAATAGCCTAATGCGAATGCTCATATCGCGAGTCTTTGTACCTGCGAATTTTCGATTACTTACATTTGGCGTGCATTAGATTCAAAGATTTTGCAAGAAGAAACGAATTTGGTAATTATTTACAAATTATCGATTATTATTTCATTATTAATTATCCACACGACTTCGTCGATTTCAATGATCTTGAAATATATCGTGAAATGTGTTGTCAAAGTCACCACACTCTGAACAACTTTTTCTCGTACGTGTTGCCATCGTTCGGCTTTACTCGCCGATATATTCGCAGAAGTTTCCGTCTCGACGAAAGTATGATTTTAATAATCGAATAGTCGTCTCTTTCAGTATCACGGCTAAAGTATTTCCAATTTCGAATAACTACAATAACATAATATAAAGCTTAACGCGAATCATATCTGTCTTATTTAACACCTTAAGTTTCTAACGATTATCCAGAATAATCCCAATAATTATTATGGATAATAATCCATTCATTCTTCTTTCTTACGTGACTCGAAAATGATTATCGAGAACGAGTTACGTTTTGTTAAAAACGCCGGATAAAGGACTTTCCGTCTTTGCCAGAGCGAAGCGTAATCGTAAAGTAAATCGAAGCGAAGTTGTTTGCGAGTATCTCGGGAACTACGGCCGAGCGATGATAACTTGCAGAGGGAAAAGTTGTTCGGAAGTTCATCTTGACGAAATATCTCAAGACCATCGAAATTGGCGAGGTCGTCCGCTTCGTAAACAATTATCATGAATTTTGCAGCCGGTCGATCGTGTAAAGATACGCTTGGTTCATCGCAAACGTTAAATAAAACTGGGAAAAAGAGGGAATACGTCACGCCGTGGAAGCAGAGTTAAAATCGGATCGAGGAATCACGGCAGAATTTGTCAGAAAATGTAGGATCGATGAAACGAGAGGAAAAGAGCGTAGTAGACGAACGGAACGCGACAACCGGACTTTCATCAGCCGCGACTAGTCATTCGTGTAACACGACCTGGTCGGGGTCTCGCGCGTTTTTATTACATCAACGAGAGTCAGCCAATAAGGTAACTGGAAACTTACAGCACGATCACCAAGATTGCGCACCCTGCAGTGCAGGAAAGCGGTTTGTCCGACGGTCGTCGTGGTATCTCTCTTCGTTGTGTTGTCGAAGTAAGGCTGGCTAAAGGGTTGCTCCCAGTAAGAAGACGGATGGTGCTCCACCACCGATCCTCCGCTCTTCGCCGTGCACTCTGCCAAAAGCAATAAACACCGTTAATGGTATTTCGTTCTCGTCGAGCTAGTCCATCCACGCGTTTATTCACGTTGCACAAATTTTCGTTGCGTGGATAGATCGAAGGACAGTTGAAGCTGTCGCGTGATACGGAGAACAAAAATGACGTATATTCCCGATGTATGTACGTACATTCATGGGAGCAACATCTTCGTTCGAACGATTATTCCGATAAAATATAAAAAATACGCCAAGAGTAACAAAGGATGCAAGTTGCTAACAGAAAGGCAAGTACGTTTTACGTTCCGTCCTCTTTATAAGCTGGGCAACGAGAAAGAAACGAAGTAAAATAGCGATGTCACGGTAAAATCACAGCTCGGTAATGGCTTAGAGACCGCGCCCTAAGGTGTATTGTTACCGTGCTTTCTTTCGTAGCTTTTGCGACCGACGAACTGTCAATTTTTCAAATTTGTTTCAACCAAACCGATGCTATATTTTTAAGCTTGACACAGAAAAATTCTAGCTCTTTCAGTTTGCCGACGATATCCTCGTAGTGTTATTTTCATTTTGTACACTTATGCAGGTATTAAATAGCACCTACGTCTAACTGGTTGTTACAGAACTGCATAAAGTTGTAATAGTTCTAGTCATTCTAGCAATTCTAATAGCTCAGTCTAGTTCTGAACTCGTGACCTCACCATCAACAAACTGATTTTCACAAATCGACGTAGTTCTTGTTCTTCCGTAACACGAATTCAACTTGCTACTACGATTCTACTCGAATCCTACTCCGTGAAATTTATTAAACGAAGCACGTTGACGACATCACGGTTGCTGATATCCGTATCTGATCTCTGAATCCATCCGATTTCATTCGACGAAATTATTAAAAAAAAAAAAAAAAACCAGTTTGTTGTTACATCCATCAAAATTTATCGCATCCCTCGAATGATTTGATTCTCAACATTTCCAAAATAATGAAATGTCTCTAGAGTTTCTACAAACGAGAAAGTTTCTCTATCTCGGCATGGTAATTCCTAGTATTGTACAAGTACTAGTCGTTTTTTCGAATTAGTCATGCAACGAATTTTCATACTGTCATGATATATCATTTGATAAAGTAAGGATATACATATAAATATTCAGGCAATTCTTATTCCACTGAATTTAAATACTAGTTGTCATATTCGTCACGAAGGTGTAGTACGATTATATGAATTTCCTTTGTTCGTATTATTATTCACCAGAGCCGCAAAACGAAATTTGAATTTTAATGAAAACGTGTCTGAAAGAATTCACGCGATCAATAATCGATAACTCATTAGTAACGCAAATGTAGCAGCAGGATCTTTTTAGTGGAATAATTTTGGTAACCGAATCAAAGGTTTGTAAATGAATTAACAAATTTGTAGAGCGGAAGTTGATCATTTTTCATCCTTATCGTGGATACATTTAGCATGTATCTTTTCCCTTTACGTTCTGTACTCTTCGGTTCCGTGTTTCTAAATTCATATGTTCATATATTCAAATTATAGCGATCGATACACGTATGAATGTACTTTCGAATCGGTTTAGCTTCGGCTTAAAATTCCGACAAAATAATTTTCCATCGTCTTTCCTCGTCTCTGACGAATACGTTTTATTCTAATTGTAAGAAACACGTTGCACTTCTCTAAATAGACAAATTTTTGTAGCGCAAAATGTTCTCTCGCAAATTATTCACTGATTATTGAAATCAATTAACGAAAACGGGCAGAATTTATTTGTTTCGAGAGAATTTCATATTTTCATTTTTTTATCTAGGTCGAATCTTGGAAAATTAATTTTTCGCCATTCTGATAAAGGTCGAATATTTTTTTTTTAACGACTGTTTGTAACGTTGACTTAATGCAATACCCAAGTTGATCGATTTTACTTCGATTCTATTTCTCTGTATTTTCCCTCGACGGTACGTTCACTAGTCCTCAATTTTTTTTTCATTTTCGTTACTCTTTATGCATATTTTATTCCACGTTTCAGTTAAAATCGAAAGATAGTACGTGCTACCAGAAGGAAACGTATCTAACAAATTTTACGTGATAGGAATTTTCTTCGAAAACATTCAAATAACATCGATACTTCAGTTCCATTGTCAAACTGAACTAAAACTGGACAATTTTTTGTACGATACTCGAACGAATTGAAAACTCCCCTTCGCACAGGAATACATATAAATCGCGGAGAACGATAAAATTCGTTATTAGCGAAACATTCGTTCGATCGTTCGTGAAAATGGTTTGCAGACTAGCCAGAAGCGGCGTTTCCTTGCTTTTGAGCGTGCGAAATTCGTTTGAACGAAATTATAGAAACGAATTTAAGTGTACGCGCAGCTGCGGCATGATTTATCGGACGCAACTAAAATTTGAATCGATAATTAATCGGTCGTATAGCCAGCATTGCGACAGAATCGCGTGTTCGCGTTCAAGGGTCCTCTAATGGTTGGCTTTTTCACCTGTCACTCAGTTTGTTCGTCGTACTGCTCTCGCTGTTAGCTTTTTGCTAGAGAGCCACGTTACACGAAACGTCCAGTCATAAGATATTCGAGCACTAGCCGGTCGATAAACTCGTGTAAAAAGGATCGTAATTGGTGTCGCGCTCTACCGGAACACGCCACATGCGAAAAAATACTTCGCTTTTGATCAATATCGTCATCGAGTTTTTATATTCGAGCGAACGTGAGAAACGCGTAGAACGCATCGAAAGCCACCCGTTACTGCTTCGAATCGGTTCGATCGTCGTGTTGCTCCGATCGAAACGATAACTACAACAAAATATGCCACTGCGTTTCTACAACCTGTGATTTTCAAATAATCGATCACTATTTTAACGTTTTCCACCGTGGCTTCGACATCGTTTCTCAATTTTTATTAGTTTCCGCGTATTTACGCAGTTCCTAAACCAACCTTCAAATATTTTTCTGCTTCAAAATAACAGATATGTTTTTCTATTCCCGATTTATTTATTGTCTTTGTAACGGTAATCATATTCCGTACGGAGCAATATTTCTCTTCTCAGTAAACTGAATTTTACCGATTCGATCATTTGTCAATTTGTCAATTTATTTAGTTGATAAAAATAAAAATTAATCGTGATCGAAATAACTAACAACAAGCAGCATCGTTAAATATCTCTCTTCAGCGACGTAAATTTATTAAACGAAACATTCACGGGTTAAAATTCAAAGCAAACGTAACTTTATATTCTATTTCTCAGATTACTATGACCGCCGCGCCGTAACGACTTTATTTCCGGCTAATGATGTTTTCACTGAAATACCGTGTCGTTATATCTCCAAGGGTTTCTTTACACGCCTCAGTGAAGTTGGAAATTTTATGAAGTTTCTCGCGTCAGAACCTCGTAACTTGCAGGTCGATTTTTCATAAACGCGACGATGTTATTAAGATCTCGAATTATTCGACAAAGTTGCACGTTTGACGAACCGCCTTAAATGATTAACGATAATACAGGATCCAATAAAGCGTGTTTGATAAAACAACAATAAGAAATTGCAGCTTAATTTCGATAGTATAACCTGATAATAAACTTTTTACCCAACAAACTGTAACGTATCGATGAATAATAACGTCGCAGAAATGATACAGACGTTTGTAACTTAATTTATGGCTGGGATAAAACGAAGAACAGTATTTTTATAACAAACGGGGCATTATATGTATATTCGCGGAATAAGGTAAAACAAAGTAAACCGAACGTGTTACAAAAACGCATACACATAGCTTACGGTAAAGTAATACAGTGCGGCAATAAATAAATAGTTGGCAATGAAAAATACTTCATGCGATATTTGTTAGTTGCATCGCACAATACGTAGATCTGCTGGCGATGAATTTATTTCGCTTGTAAATCTGTTAAAAGAGAAACTGTTTTAACTGCATCGTAATGGCCATGCAACCTTTCTATCCAACTGTGTACGAACAAATAAATTATTATCGGCGTGAACGCGAATTTCTCGGTATATTAACGAGAAATCGCTGTGAAAAAAACGAGCTCCTGCACGATACGGGTCAGAGGCCAAAGACGCTTTAAAACGCGGATGAAACTATGTTATTTCATTAATAGTTTAAAATAAGGAAACATTCGTATTTCTTATTTTCACATATTATAAATTGTACCCTACGCGTCTTACTCCTGGGCGTTCGCGGTCAGCTAGCAAGACAATTCTTAGAAGGCTTAGTGACCAATGACCGAGGAGGGATGATAGTGGTCGTCAGTCGAAGGAAACATAAATGTTTGCTTATATTTCATATATTATGTTGTAAGTTGAACGCTACGCATCTTATTCCTGAGAATTCGCGACCAATTGGCAAAAGAAGGCTCAGTGGCCAGCGAGCCGAAAGCCGAGAGGCGCGGAGGGGATAATAATGGTCGTCTGTCGAGAACGCAGCACGAGAATATTTGTACAGATTCGTTAAAACGGAAGTCGTCTCGAGATGGTAGCTGCAAAGGAGGAGTTCGTTAACCTTCTTTGTTCTATCTGAACTTTGGTTTTGGAATGCTTTGAAAAAAACTCGAGGTGCTTGCTAATGGCTTGAAACGAACCACTCGTCGATAGGCGCCGTTCGTTGAAACGCGCTTCTTTTTGTACCAACTTCTACCAACACCTAGCTTCCGTTTCCTCGCCGACAGATAGTTCGGAAGAAAAGCATCGGCATCGGCAGTGAAGGTTCACGGGATGCTTTTGTGTGCCGAACTATGCCAGAAATGTTTTAACATCTGTAGAATATTTAACGAGGAAAGTCGGGATTTAAAGGAGCCATCGCATCGGTTTTCATCTTTGCTTCGCCAAGTTACAATTATCTTGGAGGCACGGTATTGTCCCTCGATGGTTGCGATCGGAATTACCGAGAACGCGATGGATATTCTATGGATATGCCGCGTCGTCAGAACAGCAACGAGCATAATACAATTATCGGGTAGAAGAATTTTTACATATCGGAGCGTTCTGTTTCGCAACAAAGG